GCAGATCAAAACTACAATGAGATATCATCTCACCCCAACAAGGCTAGCATTAATCCAAAAAACACAAAATAATAAATGCTGGAGAGGTTGTGGACAGAGTGGAACACTTATATACTGTTGGTGGGAATGTAGAATGGTACAAGCACTTTGGAAATCGATTTGACACTTCCTCAAAAAGCTAGAAATAGAAGTACCATACGATCCAGCTATCCTGCTCCTTGGAATATATCCTAGAGAAACAAGAGCCGTCACATGAATAGATATATGCACACCCATGTTCTTTGCAGCACTGTTCACAATAGCAAAAAGATGGAAACAGCCTCTGTGCCCATCAACAGATGAATGGATAAACAAATTATGGTATATCCACACAGTGGAATACGCAACGATAAAGAACAACGATGAAGCCGTGAAACATAACATGGAGGAAGCTGGAGGGCATTATGCTGAGTGAATTTAGTCAGTCACAGAATGACAAATATTGTATAAGACCACTATTATAGGAACTCAAGAAAAGCTTTAAACACAGAAGACAACATTCTTTGATGGTTAGGAGGGTGGGGAGAGAGGGTGAGGGTTATTTACTAACTAGATAGTAGATAAGAATTATTTTAGGTGAAGGGAAGGACAGACACAGTACAGGGGAGGTCAGCACAACTGGACTAAATCAAAGCTAAGAAGTTTCCTGAATACAGTCAAACACTTTGAAGGGCAGAGTAGCAGAGGTAGGGGTCTAGGGACCATGCTTTCAGTGGACATCTATGTCAACTGGCAAAACAAAGCTTATTAAGAAAATGTTCTGCATCCTACTTTGGTGAGTGGCGTCTGGGGTCTTAAAAGCTTGCAAGTGGCCACGTGAGATCCATCAGTTGTTCCCAACCACCTGGAATAAAGGAGAATGAAGAACACCAAAGACACAAGGAAAGTAGTAGCATAAGAGACAGAAAGGGCCACACAAACCAGAGACTCATCAGCCTGAGACCAGAGAACTAGATGGTGCCCCACTACCGCCAATGACCGTCCTGACAGGGAACACAACAGAGATTCCCGGATGGAGCAGGAGAAAGGTGGGATGCCAGAACTCAAATTCTAGTAAGAAGACCAGACGTAATGGTCTGACTGAGGTAGGAGGAACTCTGGAAATCACACCCTCTGGATTCTCTATCAGCCCAGAACTAAAACAATTTCCGATGCCAATTCTTCAGACAGGGATTTGACTGGGCTGTGGGATATAAAGTGATACTCGTGAGGAGTGTGCCTCTTAGCTCAAGTAGATACAAGAGACTAAATGGGCAGCTTCTGTCCAGACATGAGATGGGAAGGCAGAGAGGGTTAGGAGCTGGTTGAGTGGACATTGGGAATCACGGGTAGAAACAAAGAGTGTGCTGTCACAGTATGGGGAGAGCAATTAGAGTCACATAACTATGTATGTATAAATTTTTGTATGGGAAAAAATAATAGTTTCTGCTGGTATACTTCGAAATTATCTTAGGTAAGTTTTACATATATTGGAGATTGAAAAATGAAAGAATAGAGAATGTGAAATGATAAACTTCAGAAAAACTGGTTATATGCACAAGGTGATAATTCTGTATTTGAGAAGGTTATTAAACAATTGATATCTGTGATGGCAGGCTAATTGGTTAAAAAAAATAATTGTGAGGGACATTATTTAACTAAAAACAAGTAAGGGTGGATACAAGTTCTTAGAAATTATATATCTACTAACTTACAAATTATCTAATGGGTAAGTTATGAATCCTTTAGGTAGTTATATGAAGACATTATCTTGTAGGAATGGTTCGAAGAATGAATTGAGGGAATGAATATTTTATTTTCTTGTTTGAAGATAGAGGCAAGCTTTAGAGTTGAGAATCCAGTGGCTATAGGTCTTCTCATTCTATCTTTCACAACATTTTTTGTAAGTGAGAAAGAGCTAGTTTGAAATGTGTAACTGTGGGTTGGGCTTATGAGAGCTAGAAGGATATTATTTGTAAAAATTTATTAATAGTGTCAACTAAGAAAGAAAACATATCAAATAACATTTGTTAAGGTTTTGTTGATACAGTGGCGTTTAACCTATCAGCAGTGTGGATGGTAGGAATAACGGTTTGCTTATGAAGATTCTAACGTGGTCAGCTTTCCCTGACCTTGGCTAACAGGAGTAAAATTAAAACTCGCTAGCAAATAATATAAAATGCAGTTTTCTTTTTTTAAGTGCAGTTTTAAAAATAGATTGCCCATAAAGGAATTATTGGTTAAGAACAATTATATTAAAAGATGTATAGTCATTATTTTTGGGTGTTAAATGTAAGGATTGTTATTGCAAGCTCAAAGATCATGTTTGTTTTTTGTATGATAATAAATGCCGTAGGCTTCATTACACCAGGCTTCATATGCTTCATTACAGTAACTTTATCAAAAGTATATATAATTAATTGGGGATTAAAAGGCTTGTTCCATTTTATTAAAGAAAAATCAATAAATCTAATTGTTTACTTTAAAGCTGCAGAAGAAAGAAGAACAGCAATTGGAACTTAAAAAAAGTACCAGCCCTAAAAAAACTGCAGAGCCCACTGTTGATCTTTTAGGACTTGGTAAGTAATACAAAATAAAAGTCGCCATTAGAATTACAAAACAATTGAAACCTTTACTTGAAATGAATATAATGACTTTATCGTCAGTATGCCAAAAGGAACCTGTTAACTAAATTTGAAAATGGTATGATTAGTTTGCTGAGTTCCCACAGAAAAGGAGATCTTTAATAAGGGAGCTGGTGTCTGTCAGCACTGTTTTCACTGAAACACAAGTAATGAGTTCCTTGGGGAAAGAGGAGATATCAAAGTAATCTTCAAAGGCTTGGTTGACCGTACCATTTCAACATTTAAAATAGAGAGTGGATTTTTTTCCCTCTTCTCTCTTTTCATTTTTTTTAGTTAAAAAATTTTTAAATATTTTTAGTTTAGTGAGGGATTTTTCCCTTAGTAAAAGAATTCTGAGGTAGCTTTCTTGTAAAATGTATGAATGTAAAGTAAAACTTAATTTTGGTTAACTGAACCAACACACTTTACACCCAAACCTGGTGGCTCAATTTATTTCCTATCTCTGATGACAATGAGAAATGCTCATTTGAATTTTGTTTGTTCTCATGGCTGGCAGATGTAAGTTGTCAGCCTAGTAAGTAAATAGACTTTCATTCAAAGGGTACTTGTACTGTATAGTGTTTATCTACAGACATTGTCACCTCTTTTTTACATTTTTCTCCTCTTATAAAAGAATTGACTTGATAAACAACTTTTTAGTAATATTTGAGCCTTAGAGCAATAATTTTTTTTTTTAAAGATCGAAGAAAGATTGACAAAGGAAAATAATGAAAGGCAGTTGAAGGATAGCGTTCAACTTCATACACTGATTTTCTAAAAATTCATCTTAGTACTTATTGAGTAAATTGTTCTCTGTTTTAAGAATTGCAGTTGAATGTTTTATTCATTTCTTAGGAAGCTGGTATGTCATGCAAACATACTTCCTGGAGGTGAAATTCTTTTATGATGGTGAAAAGTAGTATATTTGAAATTAAAAAAAAAAAAAACCTGTAATTTTGAAAATAGACCTTCAATCCTGAGGCTTTAAATATAATTATGTTGAATTTAGTTCTCACAATTTCTGTATTTTATTTCCTTTGCTGTAAATGATAGAAAAAAGATTTATTTTCAGAGTAAGACTGTATCTTACTAAAACTGTGTTCATATTTTTTTCATTGCAGCATTTCCTTTCCCGTCAAAGTACTTATTAGTTTATAATTTAAGAATGTAAAATAGAAACGCGGACAGGATTTATTTGTTGATTCAAAAAAGATTTGTTGAGTATCTACTATGGCCAGGCACTATAGTAGGCACTAGGGATATAGCTATGAAAAAAGGCAGGTAAAAATCCTTGCTGTATTAGAGCTTTCATTTTGATTAGGGAGACAGTGAATAAATAGTTGACTAAAATGTATTATAGGTCACCTACGATAAGTGCTACAGATAAAAGAAAAATGAGGAGTTGTAATTTTAAATAAGGTGGATAAAGAAGGGCTCACTGAAGTGTAATTGGAGCCAAGACCTTGAGAAGGGGTGGATATCGAGGCAAGAGTATTCCAAGTAGAGACAATAGCAAGTACAAAGGCTCTGCAGCATACTTGATATGTTCAGTGACCAGCAAGGAGGACAGTGGCTAAAGTGGAATGTTCTGGGGAGAGTAATGACAGAGGAAATCTGGAAGTAAGGAGTAGGGACAAGGGCAGGCAGATTATGACAGGACTTTGACTTTTACGCTGAGTGACCTGGTAAAAACATGGGGTGGGGGGGTGGTTTGAGCAAAGGAGTACATACTGAGTTTAGTTTAAAGTAATTACTGTGACTGCTGTGTTGAGAATAGATCGTAGGAGAACAAGGGTGGAAGCAGGGAGACCAGTAAGGAAACTGTTTCAGTAATACAGGTGAGAGATGACAATGGCTTAGACTAAGTGGTGGCAATTGGGGGTTATAAGAAATAGTCACATTCTGGATATATTTTAAAGGTAGAGACAGTAGGATCTACTGAACCAATTGAATGTGAAAAATGAGAGAAAAGGGGGAAATAAGAATGAGAAAGTCTGCAGGAAGTTTGGATGGAAGATTGGGAGTTTTGTTTGGGTCATATGAAGTTTGTAGTGCCTATTAGACAATAAAGCGTAGAGATGTTAAGTAAGCAAATAGATGACTTGGGAGTTCAGGAAGAGGTCTGGACTGGGGATATAAATTTGGAAGTCATCACCGTATAGATGTTTAAAATCACTAAGGAGTGAGTATAGGTTGGAGAGAAGAGGTTCAGGTGCTGTACCATAGGGCACTCAGATGTTTAGAAGTCATAGAGATAAAAAGTGACATGGCAGGGTGACTAAAAAGGAGTGAATAGTGAAGTAGGAGGAAAATCAGTACCATGTGGTATCTGTCTTATAAGCCAAGTGAGGTTAGAATTTCTGTATCAGTCAGGATAAAAAAACCAAACCCATTGCCATCGAGTCGCTTCTGACTCATAGCGACCCTGTAGGACAAAGTAGAACTGCCCCATAGGGTTTCCAACGCTGCACTCTTTACAGAAGCAGACTGCCACATCTTTGTCCCCTGGAATGGCTGGTAGGTTCGAACCACTGACCTTCAGTTCGCAGCGGAGCACTTAACCATGGCACCACCAGTGCTAATTGCTAGGCTAGGTTATGCTGTGGTAACAAACTTCCCCAAAATATTGGTGGCTTATGCAACAAAAGAGGGGCCCTGCTGGTGCAGTGGTTAAGCGCTTGGCTGTTGACTGAAAGGTCAGCGATTCGAACCCACCAGCCACTCTGTGGGAGAAAAATGTGGCAGTCTGCTTCTGTAAATGTTTACAGCCTTAGAAACCCTATGGGGCCGTTCTACCCTGTCGTATAGGGTTACTATGAGTTGGAATTAACTCCACATCAATGGGTTTGATTTTTTTGGATGCTGCAAAGGTTTGTTTCTTACTCATGTTGTGTCCACCTGAAATTAGCTAATGCTGTGCTCTACTTCAGTACCCGGACTAGCAGAGCAGTCTTTGTCTAGAGCAAGGATTGGCAGACTTTGCCTGTAAAGGTCCAGAAAGTAAATTTCTTAGGCTTTGCAGACCATATAGTGTTTGTCACAACTGCTTAAAAGCAGCCATAGGTAATATGTAAATAAATGGTCATGGCTATTTTCCAATAAAACTTTATTTACAAAAGCAAGGTAATAGGCAGGGTTTGCCCTGCAGGCCATAGTCTGCTGATCCCTGATCTAGAACATTGTTGGTCATTATAGCAAAGGGAGAAGAGCACATGGCAAATCACATATGCTCTTAAAGGTGATATCTGTCACTTCCACTCACATTTATTGATCACCTCAAGTCACATGGCCATGCTCTCATTTAGCAGGATGAAGATATGTAATCCATCCACAGAGAGATTTCACCAAATGTTTGTGAACATTAATGCGGACCAAGTGAAGAAGAAAGTGTACCAGGGAGGAGAGAATAAACACTTTTGTCAAATGTTTCTGATAAATCAAGCAAACGAAGGTTGATGATTGGATTTAACAGCATAGAATGACAAGAGTAGCTTTCATGGGGTGGTAGAAGTGTAAACATGATTGCTGTGGTTCCAGAGAGAATGGAAGGAGAAGAATAAATATGTATACAGCTCTTTGGAGGAGTTTTGCTATAAAGAGTTATGAGAAATGGAGCAGTAGTTGGAAGACAATGTGGTGAGGAAAGGATTTTATTTTTTTTAATGGGTGAAATTACAGAATGTTTACTGATGAGAATGAACCTGTTAAGCAGGCAAATAGCCTTTGAGTTACACAGCTGTTGCTGCATTAATGCTGCATAGGAAATAATCCCCAAATTTCATTTGGTTTACAACAATACACCTTTATTTCTCTCACTCTCAGGTCTGTGGGTCAACTTCACTTGATACATTTTCTGCCTTCCAGGTTATTTCAGGAGACTTTTAGCAACTATTTCACCATGACGTACGTGTCTCCATTTTTCAGGTTCTTATAAGCATGTGCTTGTCTTTCATCACCCAATTTTAAAGTCAGTGCCACATATTTTAGAATTTGACAAGGTATAGGATATGACCAAGGGAAATGAATGGCTAAGATAGTGTGGAAGACAGGCTTCTTGGAGAAGAGATAAAGTTGCTGAGAGGCCAGAGTGTTAGATGGATCCATTTACATGAGTATTGAAGTCATTGAGAATGTTGATAGAAGCAATGTTGGTGAAAATAACTGAACAAGGAGCTAAAGTTGCCAAGGAATGATGATAACAGCAACAAGGGTGGTATAGATGGAAGACATAACATCCAAAGTAGGGGAGGCCAGGGGTTGGGGGCACTGAGAACACCTACCTGCCTCCAGGTGCAGTGTTATGAGGGGTGTGGAAGAGAAAGCAGCCATCCGTTGAGAGGGCTTCAGGAAGAAGCATCTTTAGGAGAGAACCAAGGTTCGTTTAGGGCAAGAATGTGAAGGGAAGTTTTGGAGAAGAGGTTAAGGATATATAGGGGATTTTGCTGATGATGGACAGTGAATTCTAGATCATTCAAAGATGGGAGGGGATGGGAGATGTGGTTAGTAAGAGGGATATCTTGGTGATGTGGAGTTGTAGCAGCTGGAGAAGGCAGTAGGGAGTGTGTCACCAAGTGCACATACGACTTCACTCCTGCTGGTTATCAATATTCTAAATCCTTTAAAAAAATACTTTTTAGACTTAAAAAAAAAAAAGCTGTGTTAAAGCATGAGTTTTGATCAGTTTTTGAAAGTCCAGGAGAATGCAGAGAATTGAGGATCCCTTTCAGCTCATAACAAACAGTGGTCCTAAATCAGGATTGATTATTGAGCAACAGACTATTTTTCTACTCTGAGCATGCCACTGTCCCCTAATGGGACTCTGATTCTCCCCTGTAAATTGGAACATGGTGGGGAGTAGGAAGCAGGTGCCTTAAAGTAGATGATTTATGGTCATGCAAAAATGACAGCATATTCCCATATGACTGGATTTAGGAGACCAGAACAGGCATTAACTT